TGACTTTTGAAGGAAGAGAACTACGACATCGCGATAAGACACCTTTCACAGAGGAGAGGTTTCCACATAGGTAGTTCAGATGTCTATACAAAGCAAGCTGGGAAGAAAAGTGCATGCCAAGAACTTTGAGGCCGTCAACCATTTCAATTTTTTACCTTCAAAAGCAATTGCATTATTACACTGAAGCAACTTATTTTTGGAGCGAAAATAATTACCTAGTTTTCTTCATGTTGATTTAGCTGAGACCAGATAGAGCCTTCGTAGCAGTGCATTACAATCAGTTGTGAAGTTGCGCAATTAGTTCCCAGATTATACGACAGTGATGTCATCAGCGTACCTAATAAGTTCAGCATTAGTGTCAATATCCACAATTTCATTATTGTAGATTTCAAATAAAAGCGGCATTAAAACGTTTCCTTGAGCAACGCCAAATTTGTTTGAAAGCAAAGACGACACGTGACCGTTGACGTAAACGCACTGATATATGTCACTCAAGTAAGACTTGAACAGTGATAAGCAGCTACCACGCAGTCTATTGCAGTCTAATTTGTCTAATAAAATTTTCCGACTTAAGCAGTCGAATGCTTTGCTGAAATCTTTAAATAACGCCAGCGATAATGCTTTCACTTCTATGTTCCTTATTATCGTTTCTTTGATTGGCAGATGAGCTGTTTCTGTTCACCAGTGTTTCCTAAATCCGTGTTGCGCGTTAGTTATGGCATCAAATTTATCAAAGAAATTGACCATACGGCAGTGTATAAGTTTTTTGTAGTTTCTTGGAAAACACAGGTAACACCGAAATTGGCCGGTACTTGTTGGGGTAATTTGGGCTACCTGCTTTCAGTATTGCCGATACTCAAGTTTATTTCAGTGCCTAGCCAAATACACCTGATTCAAGTGTTAAATTGAATATGTGAGCCAGCGCAGGTGTAAAAGAAGGTACACAACGCCTAACAGCACCCAGTTGCAGGTTATTGGTGTCTAACGCTTTAGTATTTTTCAAGGATTGAAACGTAGCACAGACTTCGTATTCGTTAGTACTTTGTAAATAAATGCTATCGGCAATAGGACTTGTGTTGGTTTTTTTTTGACGTTGCAGTGCAGGTGGGGTAGGCAGAAAGAATAGCAGCACTAAATTAATGTTGGTTAAAGTGATTAGCGAGGGTATCGCCTTTCAGTTCGGTACCATCTTAAAATATAGTGTTTGAAATGCTTTGTTTGGCCCATTGGCCAAGAACACCAATAATCATTTTCTCTGTCTTTTCAGGGCGTTCTCGTGAGGCATATAGAAAAAGTTGCTCGTAATAAGCTTGTTTGGCATGTCGTAGGTCACTATTTAATTGGTTTTTAAAAGCTTTAACTCATTTTTATGTATTTGCGAACGCGAGTTCACAAATAAGTGATACAAGGAATTCTTACGCGAGATAATGTTCAGGTGTTCTTTCGTCACCCACGGTTATCTCACTTTTTTCCGGTGGTTTTACTTGTTTCAGTGAAAAATGCCTTTCGTATGTCTTTCAAAACTTTCCTATGAACTTTTTTGACGCCTCATTAGCGCACGTTACTGTCAAGGCAGTAGACTAATCTTGGGCCATTATTTCAGGTTTAAAAGCAGCCAGTCCATTTCCTGTTATTCGCTGCACAGTGAATGTTTGAACTTCACGGTTTGGAATTCTTTTTAGGTTTTCATGGAGCACATAAACAGGGAGGTGAACGTGAATGCCCGATGCAATACTGCTGGTTGTGTAAGTTTTTGTCCCTGCATTTATTATTAAAAGGTCAAGGCATGACGATGTGTCGCACATAATGCGAGCAGGAGTAATGTATAGTTTTTTGAAACCACTCGAAGAAAGTAGCTCAACAAATTCTCTAGCAGTGCAGTCATCAAGAATATCAATGATGAAATGACCGCCACATGGTTTGGTTTGGTTTGGTTTGCTTTTATTTAAGGCAAAATTGAACAAGATTGCCTTGGGGGATACGACTAAAGTATAAGTAAAAGCCTGACTTAGTCGTGCCACCCAGGCAACAAAGCAGAAACATACTGCAAGTACAGTACTCAGAAACTTACAACATCACGTGTTATCTTACACGGCAACCATAGTCAAACAGGAACTGCCAGAAGTGTGAATAAAAGAATAGAAATATAAACAGTCCTTATTCGAGTGGTGGCAAATAACACAAACAGATGCATGTTTTCTATCAAATAATTTAACAAGAAACATCTTGACTAGAAAATCGAGTTGCTCTACAAGACAAATTAGAGTATAATAAACAACAGGCAAGGGACAATAATGAACAAGGTGCAATGAATACAAAAACATCATTAACTACTAATTTCAACAATCAAGAAAAGCATCGCTTTCATGCACTAGGAACTCTTTCGTAATTTTTTAAATGATCTACCTGAAATTCCGTCTTCCAGTAAATGTAATATAGTTGGGTGTTTGTTTAGGAATGTTTGGAATTTTTGACGCTAATCGTTGGTCACCGTAGTTCGTGCGTGATCTATATTTGTATATTAGGCTCTTTCTCAGCTCGTATGGTGTGTGTTTCACATAATATGTGTCCAAGAATAGTGATGTATTTACTTCATACTGGTGTAATATCTCTAGACATAGCTTATGTCTGTATAACAGTTTTATAGGCAATACTTTGTACATTTTAAAGTATGGTCGAGCACTTTCGTAAAGGGGAATGTTAGATATAGCACGTATAGCACGCTTTTGTAATATCAACAGAGAGTTAGGGTTTGTGGTGGTCGTTGTTAGCCACACCAAGGAGCAGCATGTTAGTCGTGAATGTACTAGTGCGTAGTAAATTTGCAGCTTGACATTTGATGGGATGTAGTATCTCAGTCTATTTAAAATGCCGATTCTCCTGGAAAGATCTTTTTTATCGCGTCATTGTGAGGAGACCAAGAAAGTTGTTCTTGGAATAGAACTCCTAGAAATTTTATTGTTGTGCGCGGAATCTCGGTGCTCTGGAAGTAAATTGGAGTGCATGGTATGTGAGCTACTCCTTTAGGCTTGAAAAACATGTACTTTGTTTTAGCGATATTCAATTGAAGTTTATTTGCATATAACCATGAATTTAGTTTCTCCAACCAAACGTTAGCTTCTTTATATAGTTCACATACGTTTGAACCTGTGAAAAATACATTTGTGTCATCAGCATACAATATTATTTTCTTGTGTCCATCGATATTTACGATATCATTATTGAACAGCAGGAATAGGATTGGTCCAAGAATCGATCCCTGGGGGACACCATACTTAATGTGTTCAACTTGAGAGTGTGTATTATTTACAACAGTATAATGTTTTCTAGACGAGAGATAACTTTGTATTAATTGAGCCAAGTGAAAGCTATTTTTGCCAAGTGTTACATGCCAAGTGAAAGCAATTTTTGAAACAAAATCCAGAAAACTTTCATAAAAATCTAGAAAGTCTACTATTCCCACTCGGTGGTCTACTAACAGCGAATATTTTTTCTCGATCCAAGACGGCGAGCTTTTCAAAATCTTCTGTAGGCCCACAATGTTTATGCACCAATTGTCGTTATTTTTCTGCAGTCCCATAAAGTGCAACACCCGCTCCACGTTTATCCAATCGATTGGAAAAGAAACTCTTATATAGAGGCAGTTTCAACTTGCTACTGCTATTTGTATACCATGTTTTAGAAGGCATAGGATCAGCCAATTTAGATGATAGTTACTCCAGAAAAGGCAAAATGTCCTCCTCTTCATTCCCTGCAGAGCGAGTACTAATAGGCAAAACTGATTGGCAAGTTGGGTAATCAGACTTAATGGCAGAAGGTGACACTAACCTTTTGCATGCACAGTCGTTATTTATTTTTGATAATACGGTTCAGTGCTCAGTCTAGCTTGTCACTTGCCCCGGCACAGTTGCATATAACAAGCCGGAGAAAACCTTATCGATGTCATACTCATTCACAACATGCACGGTGTATGTAATATCAGATTGCTCCACGTAGATTTTCCCGGTAAATGACCATACGGATTTTCACCTTTATTCATACTTATTCTTCACAGCAAGAGCTAGAAGTTTCTGCAAGGCTTGGCGAAGATGCTCATTCACATAGATAGCATTTTCACTGGTCAGTCCGACATATTTGTAAGTCAGTCGAGCTCATTTTGCTTTCCTTGTAACGCTGTCTCGCTTCGCACGAGACTTAAACTGGACAATGATATTACATCTGCTGCTATCTCGGCTCGGCACCCGATGACAGACCTCAGTATCACCTGCAGTCATGTGTTCACTTATGGCACTGCCAATTCTAGAGACAATGTTAATAACAAATTCAATGTCTTGTTTCGGTAAACCTTGTATTTCGAAGTTTGCTTTCCTCGAGTATTGCTCAGTAATAACAAGCCTTGCTTCAAGATTCCTGCCCTTGCTGTCAAGTCATTTACACTCAGCACGAAGAGAGGTATTTTAGCTTTCAAGATCCGTGTTTTTTTGATCACATCGCCCAGTTTGTTCTTGTGCAGCTGAAGTGAAGTGAAGGCAAAGCCAATGCTTTCCATCAAGTGACGCTGTTCATTTGTTAGCAAACAAATTTTATTCTGTATATCTCTTTCAAGGGTATCACGCAAAGGTTTGATCTCTTTTTCATCTCTTATTTTATCATTAACAGCTCTGCCTTCATTCTTCCTTGAGTTTAGCAACGTCTTTTGCCAGTTTCCAACACCCACACACAAATACAAGGCAAAACAAGAACGAAATATTTTGGATTCACTGTTGAATGCACAACAAGCACGTTTCTGTACGAAAAAGCCAGCGACTCTATGGAAACAAGAATTTCCTAAACGGATGCTATTGATTTTCCGTCAGGCAATAACCTTTAACAATTACGTTCGAATGAACTCTTGATTACAATGAAGTTCATTACACTCTTCTGTGAATTCATTATTCGCTATTTTCCATGAAGTCACATCGTGTTCACGTGTATTCTATTCTATAAGAAGGGTCAGTTTACTGACTGGAGATCAGTCCGTTTAGTAGCAAGAACATATTTATGGCTTTAGCAACATACAGAATGCCACTTCTAAAGATGCTGGGAAATAGGGCGCATTCAGTTGGACCTATTTTGTTCTTATTCCATAACCTGTTCTTACGAAGTGTAGGAAATGATATACAAAGCGATTCAAACTTTGATGGAGAACTCGATATCATAAAAGTGAGTATTTACTAATCATTCATTTTGCCTCATATTGCAAAGTTTGGCGAGTGAGGTCGACAAACGTTGACAATATGTACCCAATTTCGTTCTGATGTAGAATATGTATTTCTGAGCATCCAGTGACTCTGTGGTACCGGAGTTCTGAAACTATGCGAGTGCATGTCCGCCTAAATACGTTACAAATGTTTTCCTAAAATACGAATAATAGATCAGAGCAAAACTCTAGTAATTTGCGAAGGCATTTCAAAGCGGACAATTCATGTGCTCAGGAACAGAGACGATTCAACATAATCTTAGGAGGCCGTTGTGAGTGCAAAGTAGTTAACGAAAGACGATATGTGGGGACATATATGCACTGCTTGTCCTTGCGCCATCGCTTTTACCATCGTTTATTTTTTCGCGCTGTAACTGTCTTTTGTAATAGAGTACAAATTAACGTTATTAACACAACAGTAACCGGAATTGTCATGGGGTGATCTCCCGACCACATTGAACGACATCGCACAACAATACAGACTAAACAGGCACAAATACCTTCAACCACACAACAAATAAAACAACATAAAGGCCGTGCCTAAGATGTTATTACATTAAAATATGTACCCCAGCCTGGTGATCGTGCGCCTGTGTTATTCAAGCCTATACCCGACGGACGCGTGCAAATCGTACGGGGAAAGGGCCACACTGCGACACATACTTTGGGAGTGTGCGGAGAGAGTCAATGTCACTCCCGCCGCTTACTTCGCTGCGTATGTCAGGCTGGGACGAACTCCGAGGCGAATTATTCGCAAGTCCAGAAAGCACTTCATGCACTGGTGACAATGGTCGAAAAAAATTTGGCAGATCCCACGAACCTGGAAATCAACGTTATGCGAAGCATACGGAGGGAAGGTGACCGTGTTGCTATTTTTATTAAAGCGAAACATCATGAAATGACGATACATTTATGTGTAAATTTTCAAACACAGACATATGCTGTAAAGTTCGAGATGTTTATATAACCAGTTGCTTGCACTTGCGCAACGATGCCAACTGAAACATGCGTAGTAGCAACACCAGAAGTTGATATAAAGCGCTGATGCTTGCAAAGATGCTGGCCCTGGACACTGCCACATAAACCAACTTCAGCGCATGGCAACTAGCCATAATTGACGTTAACCCGACGTGATGGCTGTATCAAAGGAGTGCAAATGTATTATTTATAAAATTGGTCAGGCACCACTGCACCCACTACTGACGTTTCACGAAGATAAGCGTCTGTTTAAAATGGTTCTGAGACCTGGGTAAAATGCTTTATCGCCACGCAGAATGCTAGGGTTTGATTGCAGCTAGGACCCTAAAATCGTTGGGTAGACGCAACTGATGTCAGGTATTTCTGAACGCTCACATGCTGAAATTGTGCATGTGTGTTCTCGTCGTTCCTATAGTGGATACCAAGTGTGAGTCACCTCTGGCACATACCCGCCGATGGCTATGTGCCACTGTCTAGCGCGAAGTGTTTGATGTTGTACGTGGCAGGATTGTGACATAATTTATGTCTTAATCAGCGCGTTATATTCGTCAAACCATCCTACCTTCCCATGCTAATTTTGGTTCACGCCAAGTTAGGGGGTGACCACGAGGGCACCGAAACGTAAGCGGATAGATAGATAGATAGATAGATAGATAGATGCATACATAGATAGACAGATAGATAGATATATAGATAGATAGATAGATAGATAGATAAGGAAAACGCCAAAGTTCGCTAAAAATGCTTCGCATTTATTATAAACATGGCTGCGCTTAACAGGACCAACGAGGCGGTTTCACTCGGCTCAGTACTGAAGCTTCTTGATAGAAAGTGCACTGGCTACGAACCGCCTCATTCTCATTGGCATAAACAGTTTCATTGGCAAAACAGCGGAAATAGCTGTGCTGTGGGCGCAGATCGAGCGTCTTCAGCAAACTCCACTAGATCTACTTGAAGTTAACCTGTCTAGCGAGCCCGAGGTTGAAGAAGGCAACAGCTCATGTGTATCGCGTCTCTCCGGAAGGTGCTAGCACTTTTGTGTTGCGTTGCTATACACTGCTACAAGCAAGGCCTTGATAGTTTCAGGGGTAACTCCGCTGAGAGTCGTGCTGCCGATTGCATGTGTCCTAATGAATAAGTTTTCCCCCAATAAAGCAGATTACACTTGCTGTTTACTTGGTTACTGAACGAAGCTATGCGTCAGCCAGTTAATCTTCAGATAAGTCAAATTGTCGTTTCATCTATAAAAGGGGTGATGCTTTCTTTTCGTTCGCCGATCTATGTTATTACGTTTCAAATGAGTAAGCTCGTGTGCTCCTACATACTCGCTTGTTCGAGTTTGCAGTAGTTGCTACTCAAAGCAGATGCATGCACGCACGCTACCAATGCATGGACATTATACGTATACAAATGAACATACATACCCCTATGCTGCGTAAGCGTGACCTTCGCACACGCGCGCGTGTGTGTATATACACACATATATAAATACACACACACACCACACACACACATACACACACACACACACACATATATATATATATATATATATATATATATATATATATATATATATATATATATGTGTGTGTGTGTGTGTGTGTGTGTGTCCAAGAAACAATACCGCGAATACACTCCGGCACGCATCATCGAATTCGGGTCCTCTCAATCGTGAGTGCGAGGCGTTAACCACTGCACCGCCGAAGATCACGCCCTTCTGCGTTCGCTTAAACAGCAAGCTATATATATCTACCACTTTCCGCTGCTGACGGGAATGTCAGAGGAATTGCGTTTTTTTTTCAGTATACCAGCAAGATGGCGCTATGGTCGTGTGTCACCAGATCGCGTGATGGCACGTGCTCCAATCACCCGCGCGTATACTTTGCCCCACTTAGAGGAGGGGAGTGACGCTCCCTCGCCCGCCCTTATCGCGTGCTGGAGAGGAGGGGAGGGTCTTACGTTTTGGCTGGCGTCGGGCTTCACCTGGAACGATTCTACTGTAGTTACCAGGCCCACAAAGGTCACTACAATCGTTGCAGTCTCCGTTTGCGAAAAGCGCGTGCTGCCCCGCCGCTATTGTCTAGTGGCTAAGGTACCGGGCTGCGGAGGCTGCATTTCCAATGGAGGCGGAAAACTGCCCGTGTGCTCATCGACGACATTCTTCGTCATATACAATTCGCTGTGCTATCCCCGTGCTCCCACGAACTCATTTTAGGCTGGGACTTTCTTTCATCTGCTTCCGCGGCTATTTGTTGTGCACAACGTGTCGTCCATCTTACTGACACAGACCACTTGCTTAGTGACGAAACCTACAGGCCACTTCGACTCGTCGCTGCTGTAGACATCGAGTTACCCCCAAATGAACATCAATTAGTCACTGTTTCGTCCAACGACGTTGACTCGGGTGACATTTTGGTCACTCCATCACCCCGTTGCCTTAATAAAGGCATAGCTCTCGCATCAGGTGTGGCTCGCTTCAACAATGGATCAGCTGTCCTCGCTGCTACGAACACCACACCAGATAAAATTTTACTGCCGCGGGGCACTACTGTCGCCTGTGTTGCCGATATTGAGCCTGTGTGCATCGTGCCTCTTACCCCTGCCTCCCCTAAAGGCCATCCTGGAGATCATGCTGCTTCCTCGGCCTTTACAGCAGCCATCAACAAGGACTTGACAGACTCACAGAAGCAGCAGCTGCTTGATTTGTTGCAAAAGCATGCAAACTCTTTTGACGTTCATTCATCCAGCCTGGGTCAGACAACTGCTACAGCACATCGTATTCAGACCGACGGAACATCCATTGTGCATCGTCGTCCGTACCGCGTCTCCCTAGCCGAACGGAAATTCATTCAGGAAAACGTAAACGATATGCTGCAACGGGAAATAATCCGACCCTCAACCAGTCCTTGGTCGTCTCCAGTGGTTCTGGTGCGTAAAAAAGACGGTTCCGTACGATTTTGCGTTGATTACCGAGCACTCAATAGGATCACTAGGAAGGACGTATACCCCATGCCACGTATCGACGACGCCCTCGATTCCTTACAAGGTGCAGAATTCTTTTCAACCCTCGACTTGCGTTCCGGCTATTGGCAAATCCCCATGCACGAAGATGACAAAGAAAAAACGGCGTTTGCAACCCCGGACGGCCTATACGAATTCAATGTTATGCCGTTTGGTCTATGCAATGCGCCCGCAACTTTTGAGCGCTTGATTGACACCGTGCTGCGTGGCCTGAAATGGAAGACTTGCCTATGTTACCTCGATGACATTGTTGTCTTTTCATCGACGTTTCCTCAACATCTGCAACGCTTGGACGAGATCCTGACTTGCCTTGTGGGAGCTGGTCTTCAACTTAACACCAAGAAGTGCCATTTCGCCGGCCGATCTATCAAGGTCCTCGGTCATGTTTTGAGCAAGTACGGAATTCGTCCAGACCCTGAGAAAACTGCTGCGGTGCTTCGCTTCCCTCGCCCTGAGAAGTCGAAAGATTTGCGAAGTTTCCTTGGTCTCGCCTCTTACTTTCGGCGATTCATACAAAACTTTGCCTCCATAGCCGCACCACTCCATAAGCTACTTGCTTCTGGTACGCCCTTTCAGTGGTCTCAGGAATGTGAATCGGCTTTCGACAGGTTGAAGCGTGCCCTCACGACCGATCCTGTTCTTTCTCATTTTCACGATGGTGCACCGACCTTCCTCCATACAGACGCTAGCGGCCACAGTTTAGGAGCCGTCCTCCTCCAGCGCGACAACTCTTCGCGAGAGCGAGTCGTTGCGTACGCCAGCCGCGTCCTCTCCGCAGCCGAAAGTAACTACACGATCACCAAGAAGGAGTGCCTCGCCGTCGTTCGGTCAGTGCAGAAATTTCGTCCCTATCTTCACGGCCGCCATTTCACCATTGTGACCAACCACCACGCTTTATGTTGGCTTTCGACACTCAAGAACTTGTCGGGACGCCTCGGCCGCTAGATTCTACGCCTACAAG